CTTAGCGATAAACACACATGCACAATTAAATATCACACTGTAAAGATCTACAGATTAGATTACTATCTATATAATAAGAGATTATAAATGTTATAGCAACGACGCATGATAAAACGAAAATCTACTAATGTATTATTATAATTATAGGATTCAAAGAAATCTTCCTAATGTCACATACATATCTTTACACACATATCTGTATTAAGTTTTCACATGCATATCTGTATTAAGTTTTTGAGATACAATATAATTATTCTTGTATCTTTAGATATTTTTAATAATTTATTTGTCAAATAGTATTCTAGGTACTCAGACCAATAAAAAAATTTATTGGTCTAAGTCTAGGTATTACTCCAGGCTGTAGTCTATCAGTAAGCTAATTTTCATCCAAATCCGCAGCCGATTGAGTGTGAACAAGTAAGAAACTGTATATGTAAGATATTAATTACTAAGACTTAATTATTATTAGAATATTACTTATATAGTAAATAAATATTATTAATCTAACTTTTTTAAACATAAGTTATAACTTATACGTTACTGTCTTATTGATCCGAATCATCCATAAGAATTTGATATGCCACTTGTAACATTTATATTCCTTTGTACTGTTCACAGTATACGTGCATAAACTCAAATTCGATACTCCAGGCGTGTCAGCTAGATCACATTCAATATTTCGCGGTGGTTCAAGGAGAAGCATATCTTCATACTGATCTAACATAGAATTCATCATAAATGTTGAGGATACAAACACTACCATCCACTGCCAGGATCCGATGGGACCCAAAACGTCTGTAGTAACATCCTCGTGAATAGTTCCAATGCTGAAAATTAATTTAAAAGTTAAAAGAAAAGAAGAAAAAAAAAGTATCCTTCGATTACAAAGTTTATTTTTAGTTTATTATGCTTACATTGACATCCCAAGGAGAGTAAACTATTAGAAATACAATTAACATCCATGTCATAAACAGCCTACTAGTTTTTACTCTAGTTCTAATTCATTGTTAGTGCACGGTGTCATCATGTAAGGAATTTTAAACATTAGAAAATGTGTGATTATTATTTAATTATTTACTCAGTATTTATGTTTAAGGATAAATGTTTCGATGGGCATTTATATTAATAGTTTTACGTTGCAGCAGAGTACTTGAATGTTATTCCCCTTATGTTAATTTTGTCCTCGTTTGATCATCACGTTTCCTTGAAGAATGAAGGTATGAAATGTTGAAGTGTTTAGTTTTAAAATGTTAATTAGTATTTCTCATAGGATAGCTAAACGACAAAGCAAATATTAATTACTTAAAAGCGCTATAAATCAATACGAAATGTGAACAAATTAATATAAAGAAAATTGATTACATCGAAATATAATATCTGATAATATTCATTAAATAAGAGTAGGTAATTGTCTATTTACTTTTAAATACATAATTGAATTAATTACTTAACAAGCTGGTAATTATCTAATTATAATAGAACTCGTAGGTCAAGATTATGTATTTTATTTAAGATTTAACTTAGCTTTAATATTATGATCATAATATTAGTATAGATTTAAACTATACTAATATTATAAAGAGGTAAAGTTTGTGAGTTTGTGACGTTATAACAGATTTAGACGAAGTTTGGTAAGAAGATAGATTCAGACACTGGGAAGGACATAGGATCTAGAACTTTTTATCCCGGAAATAATTCCTTTAGCCTGGTGAAAATTGGAATGAAAGTTTGTATTGGGAAGAAAACTTGGGACGAACCCGAGCGAAGTAACCTTTAATTTCATAACCTTAGATTCTTAGAACACGTTTACCGTGTGTTAAATTTTCGTTTTAATTTAATGACGGTACTTTTTATGAATGAGGAAAAATGTGATATAAAATATCTACACACGATATATCTATAAGCGAATTATGGTATACCTACTGAGAATTCATGTAAAATTGTATCTGCATTCATTTCAGTCATTAGAAACCCTCTGAACCTTCTTTTTATATGTAAAACTTTTTTATTACATTTAATGCTTACCTAATATAAATAAATAAATGCAAATAAAAGCTGTAATAAGTATGCACCCGAAAATTTAATATCTTATTATGTACCTACCTAATGAGGGCTACCGCGCTTGATTTCTCTAGAGTGAGGTCTCTAGAGATAACAAATGAAACTGAACGTGCGTCGTGCAGTTTGCGAGCTTTTCATCGCGGATTTTCACTAATTATTCATGATTATTGTAAAAATTGTACCATTGCTGAGTAATTATGGCAGATACGGCATGGCTCAATAAATCTTATTCTTTTTAAAGAAGAATTAAAAAATAGTCAATATTTTATTTATAAGGCTAAGTACCTATAATTAATTATTATATAAATGCAGGTAGAACTGTTTTCGCGCTGGCAATTATTATTATTATACATAATATTATAAATTTAGTGGCCTACCGCACTAGCAAATACTTTTTAACGACAACGATAAGACCTTATTCGCCAGTGGCGCCAACTGGTGCCACTAGAAACGATAACCCTCATCCTGCATGCGACATCACACGCGTATATTTTTTTCGCAATAAATCTACAGCAATATTGTTTTTATTAACCTAATTTCAGAAATCAATTAAAATCTTAGTATTGTTATATTACCATTGCAGTAGTAGGTAGGTAGTCAAAAAAGTAATTTTATAGTTATGCGTATTTTGAAAAAGAAAAAGCTGTTTTTAACTCTTGAGCCTTTGTATTTACTATCTAATACAATAATATTTTAGCTCCCATTATTTGAAAATCATATTATTTTCTAACACATACATATATTGATATATTATAGGATGTATGAATGTTAAATTGTAGTTGTAAAATTATAAAAGAATTTCTTACATACATTTCTTCTTATTTACATTCTATACCGCGTCATATCAATCTAATATAATTAGATACAGTATGCAAGTATGAAGTGTATAAGTATGTTATAATTTTATATTTATATATTAAGATTTAAGAATCAAGTACAACTAAAAATATGCTCTACTTATAGCTATATCTAAACCGGAAAAGGAAGTTTCATACAATGTTTTATTAACATTTTATAACCTCAAAGCACGAATACTAATCTATACATATAATAAAATTTTCACTGAATCGAATCTGTACATTAAATATTTTTATGAAAATTATTACTGGAATAGTCATTATTATCAATACAGACGCCGAACGCTTTTAGAATTTTTGGTTGTCTGTCTGTCTGTCTGTCGGGGAACGAATCACGAGAAAACTACTGGACAGATTTTGATGAAATTTGGTATGATGATACTTTATCCGGGTCAACATAATATAGGATACTTTTTACTGCAGGATTTTTATAACCTTCATTATACTTTTTAATGTAAGTAGTCTTCGCCTTAAATCAAATAATATTAATTATTATTATAAGATTCACGGCATTATAATTATTATCATACTAGCATTGCCCGCGGCTCCGCCCGCGTTCAGATGACCAAAAACTAAATTCTTAGGTGTTACATATTAGTATACTCTTACATTGCAGTTTTTGTATTTTTCCTCAGAAATAAGATATTTTCCCGCGGTAAAAAGTATCCTAGGATCGCGCGCTACATCGCCCGGTTTATATAGCTTGAGCAGGCGGTCGAGCGATGCGGGGCAGAGGGGATGGACTCGCCGTAGGCATCTCAATGCTCGCCAAGCATTAAAAATGTTTCGCTACTAATTACTTCTAACAACGATATCTCAAAAACTATTCATCTGATTGATTTAGTGTAAAGAGCAATTTTAATCTGCATTAAATGACTAAGCTAACTAAAATATTCATTTGGATAAGGATTAATACCGAACTAAAGAAAATAACTTTGAAAATAACGTAATGTTTTTAATTAAAAATGTTAACATAAAAGTGGTTATTGTAAGTCAACCGTAAGAGATAGAGATATGCTATCGCGGACTTTTTTGTAGCATTTTTATAGATTTTGAATTCTCTAGTACATTACTTAACTGTATCTTTGCTAGTTTACGCGGCGTTCGCGTGGAAAGTTCCCATTTGGCGAGATTTTTTGCGACCTCTTCAACATTTGTCGCCGTATTTCAGCTAATTTACATAAAAGCATAATAAATTATATACCTAAACCTTCCTCAAGAATTACTCTTTCTATTGTTGAAAACCGTATAAAAATCCGTTCAGTAGTTTTCGAGTTTATCGCGTACAGACAGACAGGAGGACAGACAGGAGGACAGAAAGACGCGGCCGGGGGACTTATTTTTATAATAAGTATAGATAGATGATAAGAAAGATCGTGGGTTATGCTTCAATACCAAAGCATTACCTTGTTATCGAAACGTGGTTTTTTATATTTAATGAAATGTTTAATTAGCTTCAATGTTATCACTAGCTGCTAAATGACTCGTAAATATTTATCTATTACGTATAATATACTCGTACACACATTAACATACTACATGTAACTAAACAAAGCGTGACTATTACATAGAAATTAGAATAACAATATATAATGGCTAGTCTTGACAAACTATTTTTGGTCTTACACAGAAGAGTGTTTTTGTTCATAAATTTGCATATTTCTAGAATACTCGAAATAATATATACCTATTTGATGGCGAGCTTTTAAGCTATACAGATATGATACTGCGTAGATGATACTACCAAGTAGATAACGGTGATACCACGGTAATGTAATGCATAATATTACCGTGGTGATAAGATCGACGATCGTGTGAGGGAACGCAGCGCCGGCGCTGTCTACCTGATTTATCCGATTAATGGAGATAAGGTGTTGGATTTTTTCGTTCGGTTCGGTAACCGACAGCCACGCTGTACTTGTAGTGTCGACGCCACGACGGCGATAGCAGACCGTCCATTCGTCCGTCCGCCGGCACACGCGCCTGGCGTTCTCACCACGCGCTCCCACTTTATACATCAATGGTGTGTGTGCTTTACAGGAACTTACGTTAGACCCACCAGGAACTTCTCATCCTAACACCATGGACAAAGAGCACGCGTTGGAGGAGATGATGGGGAAACTAGGTGAGTTTTGATTTAGAACATATGGTATTTTATCGTGCGACCAGACAATTTTATTTTGTAATTTGCTTTATATTGATCTGCTCGAAAGATAATATGATAGTATGTTAGATTACAAGTAATTTGAGTTTTTTCTTGAATATATCGGGATCTCACGGAATTTCGATTGCACGTGTTGCTTTACCGTCGTGGTCAGGTATGAGCAGTCGCGCGAGAGCTTTCATTTTTTAAATTAAGCAATGTTAAGTTTACTTCTGTATGTACATATGTATAACATTTGTATGTTCATTGGGTTTACTTTCAATAAGATGCAAGTGCAATTGTACTACTGTAGTGTTTTTATCAAATAATCATAATTTTAAAATGATAAATAATTTCCTTAATTATGTAAACTTGTGCTCGGATAGGTAATGTCAACTAGTGTAAACTATCTCTTAGTTATTTTTGGCGAGGCGAGTGATAAAATATGGAATAATTATTTTGATAAACGAGTTCGCGACATGAACGTAGCAACAAAATAATATTTAATAATATACATATGAATATCAATATGTAATTTATGTAGACGCTAAGGTTTTCGCACTTGATGTTACTTTAGTAGGTATGCAATAATGTTTTATTTACATAGAACTAATGTAATAAATTGGAGTTTTATTTACACAGTACACTACTTGGGTACCGTAAATAAGTATTTAGTATTTAAATATCTTTCTCTCTACTAATTGCTTCACTTTAATTATACATTCTTTGTGAAAACATGAATAATTGGCAACCTTGGATACTCGAGGTGTGTATATGAATATAAACTAGTTTATATAATATAGTACGTCTTCACTGTTATCGATATGATTTATAAATTAACACAATGTAATCCCTAGCGATCGTACGCGGCTTTTGTAAAAATGTAAACATAATTTGACCTCTTGCTTTGAAATGATTATTAGATATTACTAGAAGCATTAAATTATTAATTTTATTGATTAAAATAATAAAATATGCATACAATATATGTGCGTAAGTAGATTTATGACTATATTATGATACCTAAGATTAATCATTAAAGATCTTCGGTGTACAAATGAAAAAAAACATTGTTGAATTCCTGCCAATGTCTAGGTACAATATTTATTTTAAACTTTTCATAAAATCCACCATATTTGCTAACATATAACGTAGACTCACAACATACTCGTATGCCAAAAAAACCGCATAATATTTATCTGCAGTCGCAATTTAATTCAGAGACATTTCGCCATTCGCGTACCTGTCTCTCGTTATTTACTCTTTTTAACGGTTAGGTATATCGTTTTTAAATTTCATGCTTGACCAGTTCTGTAGATTTTATTTTTGTTGTAATGGATTTTGTCAGTTTACTAAAGTTTTTTGGTCTTCTCCGAGCTTTCCTTTACAATCGTTATTGTTAATCGAAATATAAAAAGATCTATGGACATGATATTATCTATACTTAATATTATAAAGAGGTAAAGTTTGTGAGTTTGTGAGTTTTTGACGTTGTAGGGGGTAATCTCTGGATTTACTGAACCGATTTAGATGAAAATTGGTAAGAAGATAGTTTGGGATTCTGGGAAGGATAGGTACTTTTTATAACGGAAATCATCCCTTAAGGGGGTGAAAATGGGGATGAAAGTTAATAAGAAGAATCAAGCTAGGGACGAACCCGAGCGAAGCGAGGTTGAGTCGCTAGTATTTAATAATTAAGTTACGAGGTCAAAATATGATATTTCATTACTATAGGCATTATATTTACATATAGGCAGTACTAAAAAACAAATTAAAAAAAGCGATTGTAGAAAATCAACTTGTCTAAGCTCCTAACCAAGGGTCATGCAATTTGTCATTCTACTTATAAAAAATCTTACGATGCATTATACCTACTGTATTGATTGCGTTGATTATAATAATTCTATATTACGCATAGGCAATTAATAAAAATAATCTCCGAAACTGCTGGACCGATTTAAATGAAATTTTGCATGGTGGTACCTTATATCCCCGGTCAACATTTTAGATACTTTTCATCTCGCAAAATTAAAGAGTTTCCGTACGATAGTTTAAAAAAACTATAGTAACTTATACAGCTTAATAACAACAACTTATGCACCTAATTTAGTAAAATTTGGCATGCTGATACCTTCTTATATTGCCAATCCTACAACAGGTTACTTTTTATCCCGGAAAAATGAACGGTTCCCGTGGTATATCTATCTGTTTGTGCTAGTTTTAATATAATAATATATCTGATATGCATGTCAATTACAAGTGTACATAGCACTTCCAGATTCATAAATTAAAATTAACAAAATCATAAATAGTACACATAATGTATATATGTTTACATATTATATATGTTTTAAAGTATAGATAATGCGCAAGTATTTATATAACCTTAAAACACACCATACGTTTCCACAACGTCTTAGCAGTATTAAATGATAGTTGTTTCACAAGGACCAGTATTAGTTATCAAAATAAAAAGAAAAAAATAAGTACTTATTAACATTTTATATTTAATTATAATGATAAATTCCTAGACGAGTAGGTGGGTGCGCATTTTTAAACATTTATCACACATAGCAACAATAAAGCAGAGATAGTGATGACGTAAGCGCAGACTAATAAGAGTGGGATGTAGGGGAAGGTCCCGGGCAGTACCGGACACATAAGGAATATTTAAAATAAAGTAACAAAATTTATATTATGATTTATTTTTATAAGTTTTAATTATTCGTTATTATACATTTAATCAACACAAATATATAATTAATCAGTCTCAAAGATTTCTTTACATTGTAAATTTCTTTATGGATAACTAACATACGAAATAAGACGTTTTCAAGAAGGTCTCCTAATATCGGACAGTCTTCTTTTTTAATCCTAAAGATAAACCTACATTGTTTCAATAAGTAATTAACAAATAAATTATTAAAAATTAAAAAAAAAAACAAACAATGAGAATAGCATTGTATGAGATCACTAGATTTTAATATTGTGGCCTTCATAAATCGCAAATGTAGCTAACCGTATCTTTTTAACATCAGCGCATGCTTCATGAGCCCATTGACTACAAGCTTCTCACTCCATAAGGTCATTCTAACCGAACCGAGTAACGTAATGGCACGTTTTTTTACTTTCATTTGAATTATGTCCGGCTTTACGGGACTTCCCCTATACATACTCGTAATTCTGTAATAAAAATAATTTTGTAATAGAAAACACCTTTGCAACCGTTGGCTTTGTTCTATAACAAAGGTTGCAAATTTGTTTTCTGATGGCTCAATGGATGACGGATCCAATGGCTCATAGGAATATTAAGGTATATAATAATGTCCTGCTGACTGATACCGGCCACGGCGGCCAATCTCACTGAGTCAACTGCGCAGGAGATATTATAGTGCACAAGTGTACGCGCAGACACAAGTGCACTCTCTATTCCTGTCACTCTCATACTCCGGTGGGACGACTACTTGACACAACCGGTGAGAGTTAAGATGCAGGATCGACGGGTTTACGTGCTCTCCGAGGCATGGAGGTGAAACACCGCCAACTTCTCAACTCCGGGCTGTTACTGAGGCTTACTATACAGGAAGACTCAATAACTAAACTTGGCCCGAGCCGGGAATCGAACCCAGGACTTCAGGGTATGCAGCCGCACATGCTAGCCACTACACTATCGAGGCAGTTATTCAGGTATATCTGTAGCTATTTTCAAAACTTAATAAGTAACACATAACTATAATAGTATGTTCAACTAGATGACTTTAGAAGACTTCTTCAGCAAAATTAATATAGGTATTATATTTTTGTCACTTGCCCTTCTTCCACATTTGCACGCTAAATTTAATTTGCAAGGTCTTTATTTAATTACCTTCATAAAAAGTAAGTTAATGACTAAAATAGCAGTCCATTAAGTTTAGACTGTTTTGTATTGCAATAATTACCTTAAGGTGGTTTGGAGGTGTGTCAGTCACGCGAACAGGTGATTTAAATGTGACGAGTATAAAAATATTTATATTCAAATTATAATAGATAGGTACATTAACCCCAAATGTAAAAAGCTTTTTAATTCGGAATTATGATCTATCGTTGTAAAATTTCTATTTGGATTTTTCAAGATCAGCAAATTACGACTAACTTGTGAAACATCGAGCCAGCTTAATTAGTATATATACATGGAAGTGTAAGTTACTTCCTATCCGGGAATTAAACTACCGATCACAACACTAACATTTATACAATACTTATATACATATTTATGCGCATATAACAGTTTAAAACTAAAATTATGAGTACAGTTGCTCTACATACAAGTAGTCCTGTTTTAGGCCTTGACTTTTTGGAGAGATATCGTCCATTGTGATAGAAAGATTGCACTTTGTTGATTTTTATGGGCCAAGCCAGTATGTGATTGCGGAAAATATAAAATACAAAAAGTAATAATAATGTATATAATTATTATTTTACTTGTGTCATTTTAATTTAAAAATACACGCGTAAAGCAATCAGATACGTAATCGCTCATAATTGTAGGTTATTCTGTTTTATTTAACAGAAGGTACGTGATATAATAAAAGTGTAACCAAGCCGAATCTGTACATTAAATATTTTTTGGAAAATCTTATTGAAATAAACATTATTATCGATATAGAGGCCGAATCTATAATTTTTAGAATTTTTGTCTGTATGTCTGTCTGTTACCGCATTACAGAAAAACTACTGGAGGGATTTTGATAAAATTTATTATGTTGATAGCTGGTTATCCAGGTCAACATATACGATAATACTTTTTACTGCGGGAAAATGTCTTATTTCTGAGAAAAAATACAAAAACTGCAATGTAAGAGTAAACTAATATGTAAAACCTAAGAATTTGGTTTTTGGTCATCGGAACGCGGGCGGGCTGCGGGTAATGCTAGTATTTTTATAATGATCTTAAAAATATAAATCGTTTAAGTTTATTGTTTCTTATTTTAACTCATATGTGC